TTCCCTCTGCTCAATCCTTCTCCCTCCAATCTCCTGATTCTGCCTCCTCAACCCTCCTCTCCTCCCTTTCTGCATCCTTTGACTCTCTGTGTCCCCTATCCTCCCGGCCGGCTCGGTCCTCCCCTCCACCTCCGTGGCTTGATGACTCATTGCGAGCTCACAGAACAGAGCTCCGGGCAGCGGAGCGGAAATGGAAGAAAACTAAACTCCCTGCCGACCTGGCATTTTTTCACTCCCTCCTCTCTACATTTTCTTCATCTGTTTCTGCTGCTAAGGCCACTTTCTACCACTCTAAATTCCAAGCATCTGCCTCTAACCCTAGGAAGCTCTTTGCCACATTCTCCTCCCTGCTGAATCCTCCCCCCCCCCCTCCTCTCTCTCTGTGGATGACTTCGTCAACCACTTTGAAAAGAAGGTTGACAACATCCGATCCTCGTTTGTTAAGTCTAATGACACTGCTGGTCCTGCTCACACTGCCCTACCCTATGCTTTGACTTCTTTCTCCCCTCTCTCTCCAGATAAAATCTTGCGACTTGTGACTGCAGGCCGCCCAACAACCTGCCCGCTTGACCCCATCCCCTCCTCTCTTCTCCAGACCATCTCCGGTGACCCTCTCCCCTACCTCACCTCGCTGATCAACTCATCCTTGACCGCTGGCTATGTCCCTTCCGTCTTCAAGAGAGCGAGAGTTGCACCCCTTCTCAAAAAACCAACACTCGATCCCACTGATGTCAACAACTACAGACCAGTATCCCTTCTTTCTTTTCTTTCCAAAACTATTGAGCGTGCCGTCTTTAGCCAACTCTCTTGCTATCTCTCTCAGAATGACCTTCTTGATCCAAACCAGTCAGGTTTCAGGACTGGTCATTCAACTGAGACTGCTCTTCTCTGTGTCACGGAGGCTCTCCGCACTGCTAAAGCTAACTCTCTCTCCTCTGCTCTTGTCCTTCTAGACCTGTCTGCTGCCTTTGATACTGTGAACCATCAGATCCTCCTCTCCACCCTCTCCGAGCTGGGCATCTCCGGCGCGGCTCACTCCTGGATCGCGTCCTACCTGACCGGTCGCTCCTACCAAGTGGCGTGGCGAGAAGCTGTCTCCGCACCACGTGCTCTCACCACTGGTGTCACCCAGGGCTCAGTTCTAGGCCCTCTCCTATTCTCCCTATACACCAAGTCACTTGGTTCTGTCATATCCTCACATGGCCTCTCCTATCATTGCTACGCTGACGATACACAACTAATCTTCTCCTTTCCCCCTTCTGATAACCAGGTGGCGAATCGCATCTCTGCATGTCTGGCAGACATATCAGTATGGATGACGGATCACCACCTCAAGCTGAACCTTGGCAAGACGGAGCTGCTCTTCCTCCCGGGGAAGGACTGCCCGTTCCATGATCTCACCATCACAGTTGACAACTCCGTTGTGTCCTCCTCCCAGAGTGCGAAGAGCCTTGGCGTGACCCTGGACAACACCCTGTCGTTCTCCGCTAACATCAAGGCGGTGACCCGATCCTGCAGGTTCATGCTCTACAACATTCGGAGAGTACGACCCTGCCTTACACAGGAAGCGGCACAGGTCCTAATCCAGGCACTTGTCATCTCCCGTCTGGATTACTGCAACTCGCTGTTGGCTGGGCTCCCTGCCTGTGCCATTAAACCCCTACAACTCATCCAGAATGCCGCAGCCCGTCTGGTGTTCAACCTTCCCAAGTTCTCTCACGTCACCCCGCTCCTCCGCACACTCCACTGGCTTCCAGTTGAAGCTCGCATCTGTTACAAGACCATGGTGCTTGCCTATGGAGCTGTGAGGGGATCGGCACCTCTGTACCTTCAGGCTCTGATCAGTCCCTACATCCAAACGAGGGCATTGCGTTCATCCACCTCTGGCCTGCTGGCTCCCCTTCCTCTGCGGAAGCATAGTTCCCGCTCAGCCCAGTCAAAACTGTTCGCTGCTCTGGCACCCCAATGGTGGAACAAGCTCCCTCACGACGCCAGGACAGCGGAGTCACTCACCACCTTCCGGAGACATTTGAAACCCCACCTCTTTAAGGAATACCTGGGATAGGATAAAGTAATCCTTCTACCCCCCCCCCCCCCCCCCTAAAAAAAATAAAAAAAAGAAGAAAAAAAAAGATATTGTAAAGTGGTTATCCCACTGGCTATAGGGTGAATGCACCTATTTGTAAGTCGCTCTGGATAAGAGCGTCTGCTAAATGACGTAAATGTAAAAATGTAATGTAAATGTAACAAAATGTGGAAAAAGTGAAGGGGTCTGAATACTTTCCGAATGCACTGTCCAGTGGCAAGAAAAAGTATGTGAAGCCTTTGGAATTACCTGGATTTCTGCATAAATTGGTCATAATTTTCTGATCTTCATCTAAATCACAACAATAGACAAACACAGCCTGCTTAAACTAATAACACAAACAATTATACATTTACATGTCTTTATTGAACACACTGTGTAAACATTCACAGTGCAGGGTGGAAAAAGTATGTGAACCCTTGGATTGAATAACTGATTGACCCTCCTTTGGTAGCAATAACCTCAACCAAACGTTTTCTGTAGTTGCGGATCAGACCTGCACAACGGTCAGGAGGAATTTTGGACCATTCCTCTTTACAAAACTGTTTCAGTTCAGCAATATTCTTGGGATGTCTGCTGTGAATTGCTCGAGGTCATGCCACAGCATCTCAATCAGGTTGAGGTCAGGACTCTGACTGGGCCACTCCAGAAGGCGTATTTTCTTCTGTTGAAGCCATTCTGTTGTTGATTTACTTCTGTGTTTTGTGTCGTTGTCCTGTTGCATCACCCAACTTCTGTTGAGCTTCAATTTGGCGGACAGATAGCCTTACATTCTCCTGCAAAATGTCTTCATAAACTTGGGAATTCATTTTTCCGTCGATGATAGCAAGCTGTCCAGGCCCTGAGGCAGCCCCAAACCATGATGCTCCCTCCACCATACTTTACAGTTGGGATGAGGTTTTGATGTTGGTGTGCTGTGCCTTTTTTTCTCCACACATAGTGTTGTGTGTTCCTTCCAAACAACTCAACTTCAGTTGGATCTGTCCACAGAATATTTTGCCAGTAGCGCTGTGGAACATCCAGGTGCTCTTTTGCGAACTTCAGACGTGCAGCAATGTTGTTTTTGACAGCAGTGGCTTCTTCCGTGGTGTCCTCCCATGAACACCATTCTTGTTTAGTGTTTTACGTATCGTAGACTCGTCAACAGAGATGTTCGCATGTTCCAGAGATTTCTGTAAGTCTTTAGCTGACACTCTAGGATTCTTCTTAACCTCATTGAGCATTCTGCGCTGTGCTCTTGCAGTCATCTTTGCAGGACGGCCACTCCTAGGGAGAATAGCAACAGTGCTGAACTTTCTCCATTTATAGACAATTTTTCTTACCATGGACTGATGAACATCAAGGCTTTAGAGATACTTTTGTAACCCTTTCCAGCTTTATGCAAGTCAACAATTCTTAATCTTCGGTCTTCTGCGATCTCTTTTGTTCGAGGCATGGTTCACATCAGGCAATGCTTCTTGTGAATAGCAAACTCCTTTTTCCAACCTACACTGTGAATGTTTAAATGATGTATTCAATATAGACAAGAAAAATACAATAATTTGTGTTATTAGTTTAAGCAGACTGTGTTTGTCTATTGTTGTGACTTAGATGAAGATCAGATCAAATTGTATGACCAATTCATGCAGAAATCCAGGTAATTCCAAAGGGTTCACATACTTTTTCTTGCCACTGTATATCTATATTTTTATGGAAAAATGACACACATCCAATTGTCAATACAGGACAGAAAATACGTTCACAATAAAGCCCATGTGCTTGTTTATTTTAAACTTGCAGAGTGCGCATTCTTTTCCAATCTCCCCTAAAGCCTGTGAGATCAATATGGGCTGTCAATGACAACGTATCCTAGCCACAGGGATTTTCCTACCTGAAGATGGATTGTCAACACCAACCTATCTTGTGTTTAGTTTAAAAAGGGTGTTACCAAAGACGGTTTAGTATGGTGTTGTTCCTAACCAAGATAGTTAATGCCATAAGTGTAGTGGTGCATATTCTTTGATGTTCACAAAATACTTTTTCCCCCAAGTGATATATACAGTGTACAAAACATTAAGAACACCTGCTCTTTCCACAACAGACTGACCAGGTGAAAGCTATGATCCCTTATTGATGTCACTTGTTAACTCGGTGTAGATGAAGGGGAGGAGACAGGATAAAGAAGGATTTTTAATCCTTGATACATGGATTGTGTGTGTGCCATTCAGAGGGTGAATGGGAAAGACAAAATATTTAAGTGCCTTTAAACGGGGTATGGTAGTAGGTGCCAGGCACACCGGTTTGTGTCAAGAACTGCAACACTGCTGGGTTTTTTCACACTCAACAGAATCTCGTGTGTATCAAGAATGGTCCACTACCCAAAGGGCATCCAGCCAACTTGACACAACGGTGGGAAGCATTGGAATCAACATGCCTGAGGAACGCTTGACACCATGTAGAGTCCATGCCACGGCGAATTGAGGCTGTTCTGAGGGCACCTCAACATTAGGAAGGTGTTCTTAATGTTTCGTACTCTGTGTATATATTTTCTTTTACAGTATGTTACTATTTTCAGTATCTACCCGAGGCCATCGGTTCACACATTCATCTGACTGCATAAAATGTTGACAAGTACATATGGAAAATTATCCAAAACATGTTTATTAAAGGTGTTTCTATTCCAAGCTTACCTATTACCTTCATGATTGACTTAGCTTTGTTTAAGTTTAGGCTCTCAGCTGAGTTTAGGCTTGAACATTAAATCTAGGGCAAAGATACCAACACATCAAGCACTGAAAAAATTATCTGATGGTGTGTCAATCAGTCAATAACCTTATCCTCACACAATAACATTACGGATAACTTGATTCATTAGTAATAAAACAACAGGATACATCCATTTTCTTGTGGTTGTTATTCTCATTAAAATGTGTGCACTGCAAAATGACAAGTTACACAAGAAAAATCCATAAACAAATGTGTGAAAGAACTATGAATATCGCCATGACTGACATATTTTCAGTTTGTCGTTTTTTTGCTGCCTGTGTTTGAAGAAGTCCCTTTGCCACACCAACCTTTAACAAGGTCAGAGGTCACCTCAGAGGACCACCTGTCTTTGTAACGCTGCCACAGAGCAGGGTGTGTGTGGCGGAGTCATCCTATCAACATTAGCCTTTTCTCTGCCTATGGCGTGTGGGCATTAGGGTTCCCCCACAACTTCGCCCCTCGAGTCAGTCAGCTGCTGTGGGTCAATTAAAACTTGAGAGATGGCATTCTGCATACCATCCCCATCTCTAGTTCCATGGGAGAGTTCTACAGAGTTTGCCAGAGAGTGCATCAGTGAGGTATGTTGGTGATCCTCATGCTCTGGCTGGCAATAGGGTAGGATACCATTGGGGTGGTGGCGTGGCTTATAGTGATGCAAGGTAGAGGCTGCGCCATGGATACAGCCACCGGTGCCACGGAAACAGTCACAGGTGCCATGGAAACGGGAGGCACCATGCTCTGGGCGATGGTCTGAGCAAGGGCGGCTGAGAGCGGGGTGATCTCGGGGTTGAGGTGGGGCGGGGGAGCACTGGGTGGGGCGGTGTTGGATGGGGGTACTGTAGGGGCACCAGTGGGGGCCACTAGGTCCTGCTGGGTGAGGGTGACGGTACGAGGCTGCAGCCCGGCGCTGCTCAGGGTGGTATGGGTCTGGGCGATGCTGTGGTTGTAGGAGCTAACCGCGCCCACAGGTGGAGCCAAGGTCTGCTCAGAGGGGGCTGGGGTGGAGGACAGGGTCATTACAGACACCTTGGTCTGGCTCCGGAACTGGGCATTCTGTTCCAGCAGCACCTCGTTGGTGGCCATGAGGTTTGACACCTGAAGAAGAGATTAACAAGGTGTTTGAGGAGTTAAAAGGTTAATAATAGATTCATTGTATTGTTAGGTGTGGTTGTTGATTATGTGTGGATTGATTATCATCTCCTGTCTGCTACACTGACCTGTTTCTTCAGTTCCTCCACTCTCCTCCTCAGTAGGTTATTCTCCTCCTCCAGAAACCTGTATTCAAGGGGCCGAGGCGGGAGGGCCGCCTGCATCCCCAGCTCATAGTGCCCCCCTCCACCCCCGTCCAGCCGGAGCCCCTCCAGCCTGCGTCTCTTCAGCTGCAGCATTGTGTGGTCCAAAGGGGACTCCAGGGGCCCAGTCTCAAACAGACCACTCTCAAACAGGGAGTCGTACACCGAGCAAGGACCCCTGTCAAAACGACGCTGTCCTGAGGCCCCCATGGAGAGGCAACCCCCCATCCCGCCTACCCCTACTCCCCCCACCCCTGAGATACCTGGATCTCTGCAGCCTCCCAGGCTGGGACAGCCCATCCCCATCATGTTACCCCCACCTCCACCCCCAACCAGTCCGGCCATGCCCCCGCAAGCACCCGCCCCAACCCCTCCTACCCCCCCGCCTGTGTTCACCATCCCACTGGCCCCCGGGCCCATCACGACCCCGGCACCCACCCTGGCTTGCTCGTACTCATAGTCCTTCTTGACGTGGCGGAACTTGCACTTGTTGCCCCGCTGGCACTCTCCCTTTAGGAAGTCCCTGCAGATGGGTACCTCCCCTCGGCTGTGTGGGAGGTCCATGGGGGACAGGCCCAGTCCTGCAGCCACTTTCCCTCTCAGCCTGAGGGGCAGCTCCCCTGACTTCTTATAGTAGTCCTCATCCTCCTTGGAGCCGTGGACGAAGCGACAGTTGGAGCGGACGCACTCCTTGTTCTGGTGGTCGTGGCAGAAGACAAACTCATTCTTCTGCACCCCAAGGTCCGGCACCTCGTTGAAGTCTGGGTGTTTGAAGCGGCAGCGTTTGCCCCTCTTACACACATTCCTCAGAAAGTCCCTGCAGACTCCGTCCGGGGCCGGTCCTGACCCCAGGCCCTCGGCTCCACCTCCCCCAAAGTTGTTCCCATTTCCCAGGGCCCCTACTCCACCCATAGCACCAGAACCAGAGCCACTGCCTCCCGCTGATCCCCCTCGGCCCTCTCCCGTGCCCCCTCCTAAACCAGACCCCGGCACCCCTTCCTCACCCACACTAGTACCCACCCCACCGCAACCACCTGACAGGTAGGCGCTATCCCGGTCAGGCATGGCGCTCGGCCCAGCGCGAGGGGAACACAGCACTCATGTGTGTGTGCAAGTTACTTATTCTGACAGCCTTATCTGTTCCCTGATAATGAGTAGTCCAACACTCTTCGGACCAATGCAATCCTCTACCCAGGCATCTGAAAGATACATGTCAAGTTGATTGTGTTATCAAGTTAAATATATTCTTGCTAACAGTTATCAAGCTAGTTAGCTAAATCAATCTACACATAGGCAATGGCATCAGCCAGAACAAATGCTACTGAAGTCATTGATTGGACAAACACAGAAGTGAGTGGAAAGTTGAATTATACAGACCAAAGGCCGGGACCATTAAACATGTCTTGGCTATAGCTAGCAATTTCTGGCTGTTTGAGAGGTAGTAGCCTAGCTAGCCGCTACAGCCTAGCTAGCTAGCTGGTTAGCTAAACAACATGTTAGCTAACGTTAGCTACAGCGACATAACGTTTGCTAGCCGAAGGCGAGCTAGCCATGGCTATTCAGCTAGCTAACCACGGCGGGTTGTTATATTATTGTAGCTATCTAGTTACAAGATGCAAAGTTACATCATGATACAATTGTGCAAGCAAACTACAGGAATTCCGCTATAGTGTGTTGAAGGTGTCTGGATACACAGCTAGCTAACGTTAGTTTGCTAGCTACCTATGATTAGCCATCAATAACTTACCAAAATGCTGCCTTGAGGAGAAGTTTTTACGCAGAAGGAACTGTGTATTGTCTACTTTCCATGTCAGCTAATGGGATTTCTATGTTACGAATGTGAGACAGCTAACGTATCATTTGTAACATTAATTCCTTTGGGTTTTCTCAACACATTCTCTAAGGTTTGCTGACTATTGTCCTTGCTGTGTTGATGAACACTCGTGGTTGGTCCTCCAAAGACTCAAAGCACAACCACCAGAGAAGAAGAACAATTTCTAACTCTACTTATCCAAAATGTTCTCACAAGTCGTCCTGTAGATTTTCGTGCCATCTACTGGTAATATTTGAGGACAACAAAACAACAGATAGAACATTGAGATTATAGTTATAAAAATCTTTGACAAAACTAACGCCAGACTTCTTCTTCTTCAGTGGGGTTTATCAGCGGTTGGCATTCAACGTTATTGTGCATTACCGCCACCTACTGTACTGGAGTGTGGGCCAGAGACAGGGAGAAACTAAATCCTCCCTGCCAGCCCCGTTGCTCTTAAAAAAGATAACAAAATATTTGAGACTATATCTAATGACGTTCTACTCAATATACTCTTTAAACTAATTTCCTGTATCCCCTTCTCCCTCATACTAGATCTCATCCTCTCTCTTCCCCTCTGATACTGCCCACACTGTAGCAATAACCAACACCTGATGTGCTACGCCTGCGCTGATGAAGACAACAGAGCGCCCTCTGGTGGGTGATTCAGACACGACGGGGCTTGCAGGAGGACAGGACAGGTGACCCTGTACCTGCCTGGAGAAGGGGGCGGCGGGGATATTTACAGTGCAGCTGGGAAGCAAGAACAACATGCTGGCAGTGGTGCTTTATAGCCTTAAAGGCCTAATTGATAGCTGCAAAAACCTTTTAGTAGGTGCAAGCTGAACTTTGGTGTGTATGTAGTTTGTCACAAATAATCTTCTTAAAATTGCGAGGACAGAGACGACTTTGAACACGACCACGATCGTGGCTGCTGCTTATGTTCTAGACATGGCATGCGATTAGCTTACTAACTACTAATGCAAACATTAACAAGCCATGTAGCTAGTGCTAGCAGAGAATCCACATTTTGATGATTAGCCAAGTTTGACACCAACATTTTCGTAAGTATACATTACAACGTATACAATTTATGCCCCTATACAGCGTTATGCAGTGTGTGTGTTTTGTTGTTCTTGTTCTTGTTCCATTTAGTTCTCTCATTTCAATGTACTTGTCTATCCAGTAAGACTTTAATAATGTTTTGCCTGAAGACATCATATGCCTATGTACACTATTGGTATGCTGACATGTAGCTTGTACGTTTAACTTGGCGTTTGTGTGATTACGAGCGGGACACCACTCCCACTGGAGTTAAAGTGAAGAAGAACTAACTAACTGTATGTGCATGTTACTTTGAAAAATATAGTTTTTCTTAAGACTTCATGTCCTCACTGTAGCAGGTATAGGCAATGCGACATCTTTCCTCTGGGATGCTGCTGCTGGGCTCCTTGTGGTGTGTTGTGTTCCTGTGGCCCTGTGACTCTGAGGCTACTACTAGAGACTACTATGAGGTGCTGGGTGTTCCTCAGTCTGCCACTGACAGGCAGGTCAAGAAGGCCTTTCATAAACTGGCCATGACATACCATCCAGACAGGAACAAAAGTCCCAATGCAGAGAAGATTTTCAGGGAGATAGCTGAAGGTAAGGTCCTTGGCTCACAACTTAATTTTTCTCTCTTTGATCAGTAAGAGCTGAATATATATATATATCGTACTGTGCTAATATATCTTGTTCATTTTAAGATAAACCTGACATTCTTTGCAAAGAGTGTGATGCAACCAATACCTGCAGACAGAGGCACGTTGTTTTGTCTCATACTGCACCACACTCAGACCACTATAACACCACTTTAACCTTTCAGAATAGGCTACCTTTTTTAAGCTCAGGTAATGTAGCATTGTGTTTTGGGTAATTGTGTGAGTGAATGGACTGGGAGACTTCAGAATTGCCAGTTCTATGGTAACAGAGTGCTCCTCTCTCCTCTTCAAGCGTACGAGGTGCTCTCAAACGAGGAGAAACTGAGGCGGTATGACCAGATGGGCCATGAGGCCTTCCAGACTGAGGGGGAGGATGGGGGTAAAGGGGACTGGGCTGGGGATGGAGGGTGCCAGGGCTCCTTCTACTTTAACCTGGAGGAGCTGTTCCAGGGCCTGAATCTGGACGAGGACCCCTTTCTGGAGGATCTGGGGGACTCCTGGAGCTTCCAGCTGGGGGGAGAGGATGAGGATGACCTCCATGAGTACCAGGCCTTCCTGGGTAGCAGCTTCTTTGACCTCTCGGGGGATCCCTTCAGCCAGATGGGGCTGGGGGACCATGAGGAGGGGTTTGGGGAGCAAGAGGGACAGCAGTTCTGCTGGAAGAAAACACACACAGATGGCAGTGCTGTGGAAGTGTGTGAGGGGGGATGATCTATCTATGTTTTCATGGGCTCATATAATGTTTGCAGTCAGGTGGGTTGAATGTGCAATAAAGTCACAGTGCCCTTACATCCATTATGTCTGGAGTTGATTCTGTCACAGAACAGCACATAGCGCCTGTGTTCCATAATATAAAGTGGACATTGGAAACGTTATATACTACTGAATGAGCTGTGCTGCTTTTATGGGCTAAAATAAGTTCCAGTTGTTTACCGGTCTGCAGGGTTGACTGAGGGGAACTCTATGGTCAGTTCTCCTATCTTTCCTGTATGGGTGTGGCCGTGGTCCAGACATATGAGTTACTCAGTAACTCATCGTTACTCCCCTCTCTGTTTTTCCCTGCGCCAGCACTTTCTTTGGTGTGACTGTTTTTTACCCTCTCACTCCTGCACAGAACCACCATGCACTTTGACCTAAAGGAAATCCTGTGCCTCTTCAGCAGTTAGTGTGTCTGTGTTTGTGCACCGCTGGCGTTAGGAGACAAAGGGTCTGGGCTTTTATATTTTTATCAAACTAACAGTTTTACCACACTACAGACGTTGGGGGAGCAACTGCACATACAGTAGCCTGCTGGTTAGAAAATGATGGTAAGTCTGATGTGTAGTATGATGTAGTTTGATAAGACAGTTTATCTACAGTTCCTGGTCATCATGTGATAGGCTGTGTGCCAGAGACACACCTTTTGCGTTTTACTTTTTAGCTGTGAAGATGATTTAAAACGAATCATACTGCAAGTATTAGAATGCTGATGTTTTTGTAAACCTGAAAGTGTGCTTTTGTGAGGGTGTGGTAATAATGGACATTTATCAGTGCAGGATGACAAGCTACTTTAAGTTAAACAACATTCAATAGCTGTAGCAATAACCATGTCTCATGATGAATGCTTTCTGGTGTTGTTTGGAGTCTGACAGAAATTACTGTTGTTGATTTCAGGAGGAGGCTAGAGAGGGGTCACTTAGTGTGAGTGTCCAAACCATCCGGGTCACTGAAGCCGTGAGAGACGGGGATGCACTGACCTTCGTAGTCATATCCCAGAAGGTGTGTAGTGTTCAGAGATAAATGAAATAGTCTCATAGTCTAATGTAGCCACTATTTTGGAGAATTACTGATTGTCAGAACCCTACTCAGTGGGACCTTAAAGCCTTGACGATAGCCATTAACTTAAGTAATAGTATAGTGTACAATTATGGTATATAGTATACATTGGTCAGTTTCTTATATCCTTTGTTGGATACAGTGACCATAAAGTTAGTATTTTTTCTCAGTGCCTCTTATTGTGTCCAGATGTACTATGAGATCAGGAGGAGGTTTTCAATGGTGTGCATGAATACTGTACCAAATGCACTTGTTCCCTGTTTGACTGTTGTGACATGTTGTTCTCTGTGCTCCCTCTCTCTCTCTCCATGTCCTAGTTGTCAGGCAGTGGGGAGTACCATGTGGCCAGGACTCATGAGGACTTTGAGTGGCTGCAGCAGTGTCTGTTCTCTCAGGAAGTGGTGCCTGGGATACTGGGGGTTATTGTTAGTATCCCACCTCTTATTGCCTACACCTGACACACGTTCGAAACCTGACACTGACCCTAACTAGTAAACCTATAAGCTTCAACAGTGACTATATATTGCTTTCAAATAAAGTTAAGAAACAAATGTCATATACAAAACATCTTTCTATGACATAGATCAGGGGTGACAAACTCATTCCATGGAGGGCCCAGTGTATGCAGGTTTTTCTTTTAAATGAACACATAGACAACAAGGTTAGGGGAGTTCCTTACTAATTAGTGACCTTATTTTATCAATCTAGTACAAGGGAGGAGCGAAAACCCGCAGACACTTGGCCCTCCTTGGAATGAGTTTGACACGTGATATAGACTGACCAGGTGAATCCAGGTGAAAGCTATGATCCCTTATGGATGTCACTTGTTAAATCCACTTCAATCAGTGTAGATGAAGGGGTGGAGACAGGTTAAAGAAGGATTTTTATGCCTTGAGACATGGATTGTGTATGTGTGCCATTCAGAGGGTGAATGAGCAAGACAAAAGATGTATGTGCCTTTGAACGGGGTATGGTAGTAGGTGCCAGGCGCATCGGTTTGTGTCAAGAACTGCAATGCAGCTGGGTTTTTCACGCTCAACAGTGTATCAAGAATGGTCCACCACCCTAAGGACATCCAGCCAACTTGACACAACTGTGGGAAGCATTGGAGTCAACATGGGCCAGCATCCCTGTGGAATGCTTTCGACACCTTGTAGAGTCCATGCCCCGACGAATTGAGGCTGTTCTGATGGCAAAGGGGGGTGCGCAACTCAATATTTGGAAGATCTTTCCTAATGATTTGGTATATTCTGTGTATATTTAAGCAATAAGGCACGAGGGGGTGTGGTATATGGCGAATTTACCACGGCTAAGGGCTGTTCTTATGCACGACGCAGCGCGGAGTGCCTGGATACAGCCCTTAGCCGTGGTATATTGGCCATATACCACAAACCCCAGAGGTGCCTTATTGCTATTATAAACTGGTTACCAACGTAATTAGAGCAGTAAAAATAAATGTTTTGTGATACCCGTGGTATATGGTCTGATATACCACGGCTGTCAGCCAATTAGCATTCAGGGTTCGAACCACCCAGTTTATAATTTCAAAATGTAGCCCAATGTAGGCTATACACCATTGCATTGGGAATTCAAGCCTCATAAAAAATACCACTGTGACTTCTCTACCTAGTTTCCTCCTCTACCAGCCAAGCCTCAGTTGAATGCACCAACCAAAGTTCTGAAACAACTTGGTATGTATTTTAACAAATATATTGCTTACAGCCCTGACCCAATGCACCTGACATCACACAGATATTTATCAACACATTGTCTGGGTTGGGAGCCAGAGCGATGGTGTTGGTCTCCGGTGGGGGGGGGGGGGGTTCCCTCGCTACAGAGGCCAATGCTTGCTAACAATGTGTTTGTTACAAATTATTATGTTGTATCATTAATTTGTGAAAACCAATACAAAAATATATATCTTACATCCAATGAAACTCTGCAACGTTGTTATGCATTGGTCAGTCTCTGGTCTGATATTGTATGGGTGGCCATACCAATGTTTTATATTGGTTATAAGTGAAAGATTTGGCTGTCTCACTGGGTCTGCTGTGTAGGTTTCTTGGCCATGGGGGAGGACTGGCGTACGTACTGCAGGGCACTGGAGACCTATCTCCAGCAGGTGGCAGCACACACCATGCTCAGCAAGAACAAGTGCCTGGAGAACTTCCTCACTAGCTCAGAGGTGCGTGTCATTACATTTTACATATTTAGCAGACGCTCTTATCCAGAGCGACTTACAGTTAGTGAGTGCATACATTTTCATACTGGCCCCCCGTGGGAAACGAACCCACAACCCGGGCGTTGCAAGCGCCATGCTCTACCAACTGAGCTACAGGGGACTACCACCAAACCACCTTCTCCAGCTGTTTAATCCTACCCTTTTCTCAATGTCTTATCCTCTCCTGTTCAGTTTGAGTCCAATCACCTCCATGTGTTTGACCTGAGTCTTTACCAATAATGACCTGTTTGGTTTCCAACTGGCCAGTTCCAGTTGTATGTCTTGTACTTTGTAACATGGTACATTTAGTAGCTAGGGATAATAGAGTTCAAACACAATGTTTAAGAGACTGGCAAACACAGATTATTCACACTTGTTTTGTAAAGTTCATCAGCATAGGGCTGGCAACATCCAGGAGATTGGGCACTTGCCCATGGGCTACATATAGGCTACTAAATATGTTTGCTTCATGTTAGTCACTTTGGATAAAAGTGCTAAATCAGCTTAATAATATTATCTTCAAAACGAAAAATCACAGACATGTTAGTGCTGAGAATAAGGATGTGAAAAACACATGAGCTTACTCAGCCAAGATGTTGTAGCGACCCTGGTTTATAAGTGTGGATATCCACTGCCACTTGAGCATGCCTTAGTGGCACAGTCAATTTCCACAGGGCTACGGGCCGGAAAGTTGAAGGGTCGAGCAGCACTCACTGCCTGTTTCATTACAATATATTAAGAAGCTGTAGATAGATGGTTATCTGATTTGGATCTATGGGAGTGTGCTGAAGTAGACCATTGCAGGATCTGACTTTGACAAATGACAATGTTGTCTGTATCTAAACAAGGGCAAGAGAACAGACCTCAGAAACATGTCACACACACTGCACTAAAGAGTAACTTCAGTTGATGACATTGTTAGACTGATGTTCTTGTTCACTAAGACCACAATGTGTGATTTGTCCTCTACACCAAAAAGATCTGTCTGTGACAAACTCTGTCTGTGACAAACTCTGATAAAAATAAACATTTTTTAACCTTTCTTTATGTTGTCAACGTGGAGAAAGATTAATTGCTCAGGGTGTACCAGCTACTTGGCAGAAAAGTAAGTTTCATATGTTAAACCACATCTTCCTTTCTCTCAAAAATGGCTGAAGTCCTACGTCTCTATTTAAAAAAGAATTGCACAACAGCAATATAAAAAGGAACTAAATAAACTTTAAGACATATACGGCTCGTTGTCTATGCTACACAAAAACAAACATTTCATCTTGTTACTTCACCAATCTTGCTCATCTCTTCTCTACAGTGTTTGGTTGGCCAACATCTGATCTCCTGTGAACAGCTAAGCACTAATCTTGTTTTACTGAGGTGGAGATGAAACATATATTTACAGTCATGTGTGCCAGATAAAACCACATGATACTGGGCACAATATCAGAGCTATATGCATTATAGGGCTGTGAGCCAATAGTAGTAGGCCTACTGTATAGTGGCTCTAGGAGGATCTTCCCATCTTGATGCTGGCGTACTCTGTTTCTCCACTACTCTCCAGACTCACAGCTGCTTTCCCCTTTCCTTTCATGTGGTCGATGGTGGAGTATGTCACTGATGGATCCTCCTGTAGAGAGGGACAATTACAAACACAAGATACATTCAGAGACACTGGCGCTGCTGCTTACATTTAGGATGCACAAATATGGAAATTCACACTAACTTACACGCTAATACTGAGTGTACAAAACATTAAGAACATCTGTTCTTTCCATGACTTATAGACTGAACAGATGAATCCAGGTGAAAGCTATGATACCTTATTGATGTCACTTGTTAAATCCACTGATTCCACCAGGCTAACAGAGAGCTTGGCTCAGTGCAAATGAAAGAACTCAGACTCTTCCAGGCTGAGAGTATGTGGTCAACTAGTATACTGATACTCAAGTTACCATACTCCAAAGTTTATTTTTAATGATTTGTAGACTTATACTATTATGATTTATATACATTTCACATACTGACCTTTAGATGCAGTTGGTAGGGATGTTTTAGTTGTGGGTGTTTTGAGTGGAGGTACTGTTGGACGTTTGGTGGTAGTGAGTGTTTTGGGTTGCTCTGACTCTAACAGAAGAGATCAGTAGCCTAGTGTTAGCCAGAATGGAGTTACACGTTAAAGTAACAAATCAACTATACCATACATACTAGCTATACATCCTAATGACTCCAAACTGTGAGGTGAGATTTGTTATATGTATTTGTTATAAGTATTAAAATCAAAGGGAGTGGTTGTTTTGCTCACTTCTACTCTGTTACCAGTGTTAACCATACTAATACTATGCAACTGTCATGTCAGGGACTCTACATACTGGTTTGTAGCCCTGTGTCAAGCCAATTCTGTTTTTATATCTTACTTGTGCCAATTAAGTGTGAACACTCAAAATTATGACATATATGATAAGAAACAAATGGATCAGATTTACAGTAGATCTCTTACCTTTAACAATGAGATTGAAAGTTCTGTATTGGCCGTTGTTGATGCCACACCTGTATTGTCTCACATCCGACTTGGTAAAGTGTGAGAGGAGGACAGAGAGGTTTCCAGGAGAGTTCTCAGTATTAAATATCTCCACTTCGGCACTCTGGGTTAATGTTACCCAAGAGCCACTGTTTTTTTTTATAGAGATGCCATGTGAAGCTGTTAGGTTTAGTCTTGGGGTCAGTGCAGGAGCAGAGCAGGAGGACAGACTGGCCTGAGTAGATAGTGAAGTCAATCTGACTAGTGCCTGACAGAGTGCATTCTGTTGAAAGAGACCAATTTGTTGATGCACACTTTTTCAATTTTAGATAATTATGAATCAAACTACTATCATAAGCACTTAATACTACTCATTACTAACAATACTTTTTTATATAATACAATAACAATTGGAAATTGCTGATCTACAACGGGCAATATAATTGGCTATGTATATTTGCCTTGTGCTGTTTGTCCCTGTTCTATACACAGTGATATATATATATATATATATACAGTGGGGGAAAAAAGTATTTAGTCAGCCACCAATTGTGCAAGTTCTCCCACTTAAAAAGATGAGAGAGGCCTGTAATTTTCATCATAGGTACACGTCAACTATGACAGACAAATTGAGGAAAAAAAATCCAGAAAATCCCATTGTAGGATTTTTTATGAATTTATTTGCCAAATTATGGTGGAAAACAAGGCAAGATTTCTGGCTCTCACAGACCTGTAACCTTCTTCTTTCAGAGGCTCCTCTGTCCTCCACTCGTTACCTGTATTTAATGGCACCTGTTTGAACTTGTTATCAGTATAAAATACCCTGTCCACAACCTCAAACAGTCACACTCCAAACTTCACAATGGCCAAGACCAAAGAGCTGTCAAAGGACACCAAAAACAAAATTGTAGACCTGCACCAGGCTGGGAAGACTGAATCTGCAATAGGTAAGCAGCTTGGTTTGAAGAAATCAACTGTGGGAGCAATTATTAGGAAATGGAAGACATACAAGACCACTGATAATCTCCCTCGATCTGGGGCTCCACGCAAGATCTCACCCCGTGGGGTCAAAATGATCACAAGAACGGTGAGCAAAAATCCCAGAACCACACGGGGGGACCTAGTGAATGACCTGCAGAGAGCTGGGACCAAAGTAACAAAGCCAACCATCAGTAACACACTACGCCGCCAGGGACTCAAATCCTGCAGTGCGAGACGTGTCCCCCTGCTTAAGCCAGTACATGTCCAGGCCCGTCTGAAGTGCATTTGGATGATCCAGAAGAGGATTGGGAGAATGTCATATGGTCAGATGAAACCAAAATTTAACTTTTTGGTAAAAACTCAACTCGTCATGTTTGGAGGACAAAGAATGCTGAGTTGCATCCAAAGAACACCATACCTACTGTGAAGCATGGGGTTGGAAACATCATGCTTTGGGGCTGTTTTTCTGCAAAGGGACCAGGACGACTGATCCGTGTAAAGGAAAGAATGAATGGGGCCATGTATCGTGAGATTTTGAGTGAAACCCTCCTTCCATCAGCAAGGGCATTGAAGATGAAACGTGGCTGGGTCTTTCAGCATGACAATGATCCCAAACACACCGCCCGGGCAACGAAGGAGTGGCTTCGTAAGAAGCATTTCAAGGTCCTGGAGTGGCCTAGCCAGTCTCCAGATCTCAACCCCATAGAAAATCTTTGTAGGGAGTTGAAAGTCTGTGTTGCCCAGCGACAGCCCCAAAACATCACTGCTCTAGAGGAGATCTGCATGGAGGAATGGGCCAAAATACCAGCAACAGTGTGTGAAAACCTTGTGAAGACTTACAGAAAACGTTTGACCTGTGTCATTGCCAACAAAGGGTATATAACAAAGTATTGAGAAACTTTTGTTATTGACCAAATACTTATTTTCCACCATCATATGCCAATAAATTCATTAAAAATCCTACAATGTGATTTTCTGGAATTTTTTTTCTCATTTTGTCTGTCATAGTTGACGTGTACCTATGATGAAAATTACAGGCCTCTCTCATCTTTTTAAGTGGGAGAACTTGCACAATTGGTGGCTGACTAAATACTTTTTTCCCCCACTGTATATATATATATATATATATATATATATCAATCAATCAATCAATCAATTTTATTTTATATAGCCCTTCTTACATCAGCTAATATCTCGAAGTGCTGTACAGAAACCCAGCCTAAAACCCCAAACAGCTAGTAATGCAGGTGTAGAAGCACGGTGGCTAGGAAAAACTCCCTAGAAAGGCAAAACCTAGGAAGAAACCTAGAGAGGAACCAGGCTATGAGGGGTGGCCAGTCCTCTTCTGGCTGTGCCGGGTGGAGATTATAACAGAACCATGCCAAGATGTTCAAAAATGTTCATAAGTGACAAGCATGGTCAAATAATAATCAGGAATAAATCTCAGTTGGCTTTTCATAGCCGATCATTAAGAGTTGAAAACAGCAGGTCTGGGACAGGTAGGGGTTCCATAACCGCAGGCAGAACAGTTTAAACTGGAATAGCAGCAAGGCCAGGCGGACTGGGGACAGCAAGGAGTCACCACGGCCGGTAGTCCCGACGTATGGTCCTAGGGCTCAGGTCTCTCAGTTGGCTTTTCATAGCCGATCATTAAGAGTTGAATATATATATATATAACCATGATCTGAATCTCTTATGTACCTTTAGCTTTGAGTCCAACATCCCTGTAGTGGTTGTTGGTGATTTGACACCTGTATATCCCCCTGATCCTCCTCATTGAAGTGTGAGAGGAGGAGAGAGAGATTCCCAGGAAAGGTGCCAGCACTAAACATCTTCACTCTGAAGTGATCATTCTGGTTTAATTTTATTTCCGGTCCTTTGCCATTTTAAAAGAAGAACCATGTGATTTTGGGATGTTCAAACTGAGGTTCATGACAGGAGCAGGGCAGGAGCACAGTCTGCCCAATGTAGGCTGTCATCACCTGCAATGGATTGTTAGGACCAGCCAGGGTGCAGCCTGTTGAAACACAGAGAAACATAATACTTATTAAAATCTGCATGTCAGTCTTCGGCAACACAGTCTTGTGAGACCATTGATTTCTTCATCCTTGAACAGCATAGACAATCCATTATGGGAAGTACTGTACCTTCCTGTTAAGTAATCTAATATTACATTGTCTGAAACTGTTAAACATTATTTGAGAGATCTGCAACATAGTCAATATATACCCTTTAACAGTACCCATTTAGCAGATGCTTTTATCCAAAGTAAATCAATGGTTTATTTGACCACTAGTAATAAGATATGTCATTAACATTGTTTATGAACCAGAAAAAGAACTGCCGAAGGTTGACTCTCCCCAGAGTAAAAGCAACAAGCAACACTTATTTTGATTGTATATGCCTTAAACTCACTGCATTAGTATTTGTGCGCACAGTATCCGTTATTTAAAAACATGTTTTTGTAAGTAACTGAGGTCTCCATGACCACATACAGGTTAAGACAGTAGGACTCACCTTCATTTCCTGCAGTGATGTGAAGGACTAAGCTGATCAGAAACACAGAGATCCACCTGACTGTCTCCTGATGATGTAGAAAAACACAGAGACTATGTTCTGTGTATGTGTTGAGAGAGGGACTGAGTTTGACACTTTCCTTCCTTGACTGTGTAGACTGACAGTATGTGTAGCTGTGACATTGCCTGGAAAGTAGTGTGTGAATGTTATGCCCAGACTCTCAGCCCACATCCAGTTACACAAGTCTCTGCTTTTCCTTTTCTCTAGTTAGTCTTCCTCTTCTTATAGTCAGCTCTTCTCAAAATGATGTCAGTTGTCGAAAGGAATCATATACTGAACAAAAATATAAAACGAAACATGCAACAATTTCAAGGATTTTACTGAGTTATAGTTCATATAAGGAAGTCCGTCAATTGAAATAAATTCATGAGGCCCTAATCTATGGATTTCACATGACTGGGCAGGGGCGCAGCCAGGGTGGGCCAATCATAATACGGCAATCAGAATACGGGCTTTATTACAGACAGAAATACTCCTCAGTTTCATCAGCTGTTTGGGTGGCTGGTCTCAGACGATCCCGCAGGTGAAGAAGCCGGATGTGGAGGTCCTGGGCTGGCGTGGTGACACGTGGTATGACGTGGTGAGGCCGGTTGGACGTACTGCCAAATTATCTAAAACGACATTGGAGGCGGCTTATGCTAGAGAAATTAACATTCAATTTTCTAGCAACAGCTCTGGTGAACATTCCTGCAGTCAGCGTGCCAATTGCACGCTCCCTCAAAACTGAGATGTCTGTGGCATTGTGTTGTGTGACAAAATGCACATTTTAGAGTGGCATTTTAATGTCCCAAGCACAAGGTGTGCCTGTATAATGATCATGCTGTTTAATCAGCTTCTTGAAATGCCACGCCTGTCAGGTGGATGGATTATCTTGGCAAAGGAGAAATGCTCACTAACAGGGATGAAAACAAATTACATGGATGTTGTGACGCAATTGTGAAGCCTCCGGAGGCACGCACAGGCCAAGTTGAGCTTTGTACCCCATAACAATGCGGAGGGCTCCGCATTGACATGATTGGTTGATGGTAGATGAGGGCGGGAGGTCCTGTATAAACACAAACTCACTTCCTTGACAACTTCCTTCATAACTGCTCTGTGCTGCTTGGCGAGGCGCAAGAAGTATGAATGTCCTGACTTCTGCAGAGGCCATATCACCGTAAATTCCGCACGGCCAATGCAGACGTCTGAATGACCATGCAGCGCCTTTAACTCCGCCTACCCGGCGGACCGGGAGATCTGTGGCTAAATCAAGTGCGTCTACTGCGCTGACCAATCGGATAGCTCAAATCACGACCCCGGCCACAGCAAAGTTTGATACTAGCCTACGTGAGATTTCATAACTTTTAAAACCATGACCAGAGAGTGACTGTCAAAGAATACAGCAAAGATCTGCTGTTTTTACGAGTGAGTTCATGTCTACATTTTTAATCAGCACTGTCACTGTTTTTATTCAACACTATTACAAAACATAAAACACGCTTCACCCTACATCCACTCGTGCTGCAGCTGCAATGAATGAGTAGCCAAGTGTATCGATAGCCCTGCGTTTTTATTATTATTAGCAGCTCGTCGTGTCTATTTTAATATTGAGGAATATTTCACTTTCTCTGGTCATAGGAACAACATGAATTTGTGCACGAGGCAGATTTGGTGCGACTCGAGTTTCACCATTAGGTGGAAGACTGTCCCCTTTCTCTGGTCAGTTTCTTCGGATGGGGCCACAGTGTCTCCGGACCGCTCCTGTCTCAGCCTCCAGTATTTATGCTGCAGTAGTTTATGTGTCGGGGGGCTGGGGTTAGTTGGTTATACCTGGAGTACTTCTCCTGTCTTATCCAGTGTCCTGTGTGAATTTAAGTATGCTCTCTCTAATTCTCTCGTTCTCTCTTTCTCTCTGAGAACCTGAGCCCTAGGACCATACGTCAGGACTACCGGGCATGATGACACCTTGCTGTCCCCAGTCCGCCTGGCCTTGCTGCTATTCCAGTTTCAACTGTTCTGCCTGCGGCTACGAAACCCCTACCTGTCCCAGACCTGCTGTTTTCAACTCTTAATGATCGGCTATGAAAAGCCAACTGAGAGACCTGAGCCCTAGGACCATACGTCGGGACTACCGGCCGTGGTGACTCCTTGCTGTCCCCAGTCCGCCTGGCCTTGCTGCTATTCCAGTTTAAACTGTTCTGCCTGCGGTTATGGAACCCCTACCTGTCCCAGACCTGCTGTTTTCAAACTCTTAATGATCGGCTATGAAAAGCCAACTGAGATTTATTCCTGATTTACTATTTGACCATGCTTGTCACTATGAAACATTTTTAAATACTTGGCCATGGTTCTTATAATCTCCACGGCACAGCCAGGAGAGGGAATGGGCACCCTCATAGCCTGGTTCCTCATCTAGGTTTCTTCCTAGGGTTTTCGCCTTTCTAGGGAGTTTTTCCTAGCCACCGTGCTTCGACACCTGCATTACGAGCTGTTGGGGTTTTAGGCTGGGTTTCTGTACACACTTCGAGATATTAGCTGATGTAAGAAGGCTATATAAACTAAAAATTGATTTGATGATTGAGTGAGCTCACAGGAGGAAAAGAAGGAGAGCGGAAATGGACCGTGCGAGGCGGACCCTCTGCTGCTCTCGAGCTCCCTCCGCTGAGACTAATGCAGTGTTCAAAACAACTGGGAACTCGGAAAAAACAGAGATCCGACTGGGAAAAATAGTTTTGAACGGTCATCCAACTCGGAATTCTAAGTCGGAAACTCTGGCATCTTTCTAGAGCTCCGACTTTGATCTGAAGATCACAATAAAAGGCCACTCTAAAATGTGCAGTTTTGTCACACGGTCATCCAACTCGGAATTCTAAGTCGGAAACTCTGGCATCTTTCTAGAGCTCCGACTTTGACCTGAAGATCACAATAAAAGGCCACTCTAAAATGTGCAGTTTTGTCACACAACACAATGCCACAGATGTCTGAAGTTGAGGGAGCGTGCAATTGGCATGCTGACTGCAGGAATGTCCACCAGAACGGTTGCCAGAGAATTTAATGTTAATTTCTCTAACATGTGAGTTCCTGGGCTGGCGTTGTTTTAGAGAATTTGGCAGTACATCCAACCGGCCTCACAACCGCAGACCAGGTGTAACCACGCCAGCCCAGGAACTCCACATCTGGCTTCTTCACCTGCGGGATCGTCTGAGACCAGCCAGCTGATTATACTGTGGGTTTGCACAACCAAATAATCTTTGCACAAACTGTCAGAAACCGTCTCAAGGAAGCTCATCTGCGTTCTCGTCATCCTCATCAGGGTCTTGACTTGACTGCAGTTCGGCTTCGTAACCGACTTCAGTGGACAAATGCTCACCTTTGATGGCCACTGGCACGCTGAAAAGTGTGCTCTTCACGGATGAATCCCGGTTTCAACTGTACCGGGTAGATGGTAGACAGCGTGCATGGAGTTGTGTGGGCGAGCGGTTTGCTAATGTCAACGTTGTGAACAGAGTGCCCTATAATAATAATAATAATATGCCATTTAGCAGACGCTTTTATCCAAGCGACTTACAGTCATGCGTGCATGCATTTTTGTTATGGTGGTTCCCGGGGATGAACCCATACTTGGCGTACAAGCGCCGTGCTCTACAGATGAGCTACAGAGGATCACAGACCTATCGGTGGCGAGGGATTTGGTATGGGCAGACATAAGCTACGGACAATGAACACAATTGCATTTTATCGATGACAATTTGAATGCACAGAGATACCGTAACGAGATCCTGAGGCCCATTGTCGTGCCATTCATCCACCGCCATCACCTCATGTTTCAGAATGATAATGCACAGCCCCATGTCGCAAGGATCCGTACACAATTCCTGGAAGCTGAAAATGTCCCACTTCTTCCATGGCCTGCATATTCACCAGACATGTCACCCATTGAGCATGTTTGGGATGCTCTGGATCGACGTGTACGACTTGCATGTTCCAGTTCCCGCCAATATCCAGCAACTTCGCACAGCCATTGAAGATGAGTGGGACAACATTCCACAGGCCACAGTCAACAGCCTGATCAACTATGCGAAGGAGATGTCTCGCCGCATGAGGCAAATGGTGGTCACACCAGATACTGACTGTTTTTTTGGTCCACGCCCCTACTTTTTTTGGAAGGTGTCTGTGACCAACCGATGCATATCTGTATTCCCAGTCATGTGAAATCCATAGATTAGGGCCTAATTTATTTATTTCCTTATATGAACTGTAACTCAGTAAAATCTTA